TGTCTGCATGTTGCGTTTGTGTCTCCAGAGGGAAAAGAGAAGCAGAAGGGCAGAAAAGATGACTGCTGTGAATGGAGTGGCATAGCTGAAGCCAATGCTAAAAGAAAAGGGGAGAAAATATTCCTCTCTTCTGATCCTTGCTTTCCAAATGCATTCTTGGCAGGTCAAATTGAGGTTCTTACAGAAAGCTTTATCAGTCATGTTGTTGATAACAATTCCGATAACCAGGGAGAAAAACACTGACCCCAACAAGAGCCAGGGCACCATCCTGTCAACTTTTACTTTCAGGTAGATGAAGAAACTGCTCCTGAAATTGGCAATTTTTATACAATAAAAGACACAAAGACAGGCTGAAATCCAAAAGTTGAAAACATTCAGAATGATCTGAGCATTTTTACTTAGCACAATAATGGGGTGAACATGACGATAATTGGGGTAAATTAGTGAGAGAAAGAAATTTATCCAGGAGATGCACAAAAAACAAAACCTGGAGGATCCAAGTAACAGCAAGATCTTCTCATTAGAGTTCAAGGTTTTCTTTCTCACCCAGGTCATGCAAATCACAGAAACAATGAAAGCATTTATCCACATGCCAGGAAATGCCTCAAAGGTGATGATGGTCACAGCTGTGGCAGAATATGAGGTGACATTGAATTGTTCTTGAGAGTGACAATCTTCCATCCTGGGAGCTGGGAGCGGTGCTGTGCTGGACAAGGGGACTGTTGCACCAATGCCAAGCGCAGGTCAGCTGCTGCTGATCCCTGAGTGTCCCGTCTGGAAAGAGGAGCTTTATAGAGCTGCTGGTGGGGGGGATTGTGGTGCCGCTCCCCTTGAGAGCAGGGCAGGTGCAGGGATGTAAATGTGCTGGGTGTCCCCTTACCTGGTGTCAGTGTCACTCTGCAGTATTTGAATGTTGGTTCAGGAGGGCTGTGTTGAGTGACACAAAGAGTGGAGAGGTTTTTTGCAGTGAGTCGTGTTGTGATTTTGTGGGGGACGTATTTTGATCTCTGTGAGGATTTAGAATCTGTGTTCTTCTGTCTCTTGGTCGCCTACCCTGAGCAAATCAGTTTTGTCTGCAGTCATTAAAAAATATTATTTCTTTTGATAATTGTTGATGTTGTTGGAAGGCACAGCATTGCCTTGAGAGAATTTTCATTTCCTGATACTGCCTGTTCTCTTCTTTATGCTTTGCTTTGAGTTTCCTATGCTTTTACTGACAGGATAGAAAATGTGTTGTAAGGTTTAATGGTTTTTGAAAGTTTATTATTTATTTTTGTCTCCAGAGGTAAAAGAGAAGCAGAAGGGCAGAAAAGATGACTGCTGTGAGTGGAGTGGCAAATCCTAAGCTAATGATGAAATAATTAGGAAAAAGAAGTTCTTCTATTCTGATCCTTGCTTTCCAAATACATCCTCGGCAGGTGAAATTGAGGTTTTTACAGAAAGCTTTGTCAGTGACGTCGTAGACAATGGTTCCGATGACTACGGAGAAAAACACTGACCCCAACAAGAGCCAGGGTACCATCCTGTCAATTTTTTTTTTCAGGTAGATAAAGAAGCTGTTCCTGAAATTGGCAATTTTTATACAAT